AAGGAGTTGAGCCCGACAGGAAAGTTAGAGTATGTGTGTGAATAAAGTGCCACTGTTCAAACTAGCCAGTTAGCACTGGCCAGGTACGTGCTCTGTCAGAGGCTTTAACCTGTTGTCCATTTTGCTGCCAGTTATCATAACCCTTATGCTCTTTTCTTGCTGTGGACTCATCTGGTAGAGCAAGGGGCCCGTTCCGGTCTGTCCCTGGCTAAATCAGCAAAAAGACATCACTCTTGCTTTGCTGGCTTGAAAGGCATTTTGTTTAGTCTTATGTGGAGGGGAGAGAAAATGGACCATTCCCCACACCTCCAAAAGGGCCATGGATGGATGTAATATGATGCTACATTCATCCATCACACAAGCCACCAATGACAGCCTGATGCCCAAGACAAGGAAAAGGAAAGCCAACTATGGCAGCTTAAGTTGTCCACAAAGTAGGCAAGCTAAGCCAAAACTAAAGTTTGTAAGAGGAAAAGAGGAGCCAGAAGCAGCTGCTCTCTAAATCTCAAAGGGTCAGTCAGCAGTGGTCTTAATCCCTCTTCCACTTTGGCTGACTGCTTCACACAGTGCCAAGGGCTTCTAACCAGGCTATCACCTCCAGACAGTCTGGGCCCAGAACAGACCCACATTTCTTCTTTCAGTCAGCAGGACAGCCTGGTGGTCAGGAACATGCCACAGTGAGGGTGAGAAGGCAGCACACCATCAGTTTAGGCCTGTGCAGAGATTCATGCAGGCAGTAAGAATGCCACAGAGCAGCCTCCCATCTGCAATCCTTCAAGACCCTGGCAAAAACGGTTTCATCTCAGTCTTTTCAACAAGCCAATTCCCCATTTGTCAAAGAAACAAAAGTTAAAGCCATGTGAACCTGGCATTGTGCAGGCTGTCAAACCCATCATGGTCTCCCTGCTCTCTCAAGTAAAATGCAGCAAGATCCAAACAAGGCTTGCTTGGAAGCATATTTTAGATAAAACTGTTGCCAGCATTTCCTACAACGCAGATGAGCTCTTGGAACCAACACAGTAGCAAAGGAGACAAGCACCTTCTGAGGAAGACAGGTTAGCCTTATGTTTACAGCTGCAGCAAAGTGTTTAGTGTAACATTTCACTAAGAAAGGCACAATGGAATAGGAGCACCCATCACCCCCCCAGGCAGATAACAGTTGTAGTGAACACCGAAGAAAGGAGCAAAGCTGAAGTTCACTGAGATCTTGGTACCACTCCAGAGCATTTGGACAGTTAAAAGAGTGTTGCATCAGGAGGACACTGCTAGTACTGACCTAAAGAACTGCAACTAAGTACCATTTAATGACAATAACACACAGCAGTGAATAATCCAATGTCTCTGCCCTCTTTGCTAGAGTTTACAACAAGGTTAACTATTCAGGGAGTCCATATCTCTTCCAGGCTACAAAGGCAATTAAATAAAAAGAAATATTTCTAGCAAGGATTTAGGGCATAATGTTTGAAGGGAAAGCTGCTTCTGCCAGCCTGATTGAGGAAAAGGAACAAACCTAGCAGTGACATTAAGAGCTTATGAGACAAGCAAAGCTGGTGCTTCAGACATAGGTTCATGCAGCAGTGCTACAAACAAGCTGAAGGAGTGACTGCCTTCAGCTTCAGATCTCTCTCCAGCATGCTGGGAGCACTGGGCTCAGTGCATTACATACTTTCTTGGCTCATCTGCTTAGAATATTTAGCCTCATCTGAACAGGAGTTCCCTAAAGGTCTGCCACATGGAGGGACTGGCTGCACTGAGAAGACCTCCATGCACATAGTGCTACTCAGACCAAGCTAGCCTGAACTTCACCAGAGCTTCACAGTGCCCAGTGATTCTCAGAGATCTGCATTTGCTCAAAAGCTTTGCTAGGCAAGTATTTCCTTTCACACTCCCACTTCCTAAATTGCATAGGAAACAAACTGCCTGCCACCAAAATATAAAAGTACTGCTGACTGACAGACTTCCCACTTGGCATTCTCTTCACATCAGCAGCCCCACACGAATTGGGTAGAGGTGGCATAGAAAGGCCTTTCAGGTAAGGACCAACCTGACTGACCCTCAGGTTCCACTGACAGCTGGGGGAGTCATGCATGCAGTGATACGAAACCAAGACAAGGTTTAACTGGCAGCAGCCAGATAAGGAGACATGACTTCTACTGGATGGGAAGAAAAAACTGGTATATACCTTACTAACTTCAGGCCCTACCACAAACAAAGCAGCAAAAATGAGCTGCCCCATGTGCTTATTCTTTTACAGCACTTTGTTTTCTAAGCAAGCCAGATGAGAAGTTCCAAGAGTCAGCACCATCAGATCTGTGTTGTGGTCACTGAAATTACAGAAGCTTAGGAGGTCATCATCTCATCTGCAAGGGTTACTGCCACAAAGCAGACTCAGACTTAAAGGAATCTGATTTATGCCAAAGCTCTGCGATCCCTTCCATCAGCTATTTGCACTGAGATACCAACCTTTGCATAAAAGTGTCAGGGGCATACATGAGTTATCTTCCAGCAGCTCTGCTATAGGAGAAGTTTGCTCCAGAAAAGGGACAGGGCATTTAGCTATGGAATAGCATTTTAAGTAACTCCAGCAAAATCTTCTTGATACTTGTGCCCTGCAGAAACATCTGTGCCACCAAAAAAGCAAAACAAAACATATCTTCAATCCACAGCTGTGGTGTGCTCCAACTCAGTTCCTTTTCCTTAGGCTGTTTTACTGCAGGGCTTTAGCTAAAGCAAAGACTTCCCAAAGCCCTTCAGGAGACAGGGCACTACTCTTCCACGTGCCATAGTCTGTCCTAAAAGATGCTTCAGCAAGATACTGAAGGCTCCCCTGGGAGATGTGCAGAGAGCGTTTCTTCCCTTCTTTTAGGGAACCACAGCTCTTTTCTCGCCACCAAGAAAAATAATCTTGCCCTGACAAGATACTGCTTCAGATACTGCTGTAAATGCTTCTGCTTCTTTCAGTACAGTGATGTGTCCAAACTAGAAAAGAGCCAGCCTCAGAGCTGCAAAGGTGTCATGCTCCTGCACTAATACCATCAAGACAGAAGACATGGCTGGTTTTTCCTATGCCTGACTTGTTCCAGCTTTCCCCACTTCTCAAGGCAGATGTGTCACCATCCATCTGAAACTGTAACATGTTACTGACTCTAACATCTGTGGAAGGCAAATGAACCTGTAAAAGCAGTCTTCACATGAGCACCAATAGGAGTTTCTGCCAGTTTGTTCATTCCACAGGCATTTTAATGCTGCTCTGTTACTCTGGGAGGACTGCATTTGAGGAATCTAGGTTCTATAGCAGATCACCCCACCTCTGCATGCAAAGGATGGACTATCAGGATCCACCACAGCATCAGGAACGGAAGACAACACCATCTGAGTTCAGAGAACACACTCCTTTCAGCCTCTGCAGACTTCAGGTCTCCTTGGACTGGAGGTATGCAGATCCTGCATTCAGATACATGTCATAAGATCCTTAAACTACACAATGACACATCTACCTTGTACTGCAGTTCCACTTGGTCTCCCACCAACATTGCAGCCATACTAAGTTAGTCTCCAACAGTAGCCAGGAAGTAGGGCGTGGAAGAGTAAAGAAAGGATAAGAACTGAAACTGCCTCTTCCTAAGCTCCCTCCCAAATCTAGTAACTACTAGGTAAAGCAAAAGGGCTTGCCTGTACAGGAACAAGTCAGCAACCAAAAGCTACTTGTCACAGGGCTGCTGCAGCCTGGTAGTAACACACAATGAAGTGACAGAAGCACTGACAGAAAACAATCACTTTCAATTGCATATCCCTCCATTAATAAAGACAAGCAGAGAAGGCCAATGAAAACAGGTAATATTTTTAATATCATCCTCCCCTTCTCTGGTGTTTTTCATTTATAACAAGCAAATCTTGATGATATCCTTTTCAAAGGTGAGAAAATTGAGCAATAGCTTAAGTTTGTGTGACTATCACCCAGTGGCAGAACATGAGAGAGCAGCAAAGTCTTCAATCCCAAAGCACAAATCAATCCACTAAATCACACAGCTGCTGAAGTAACCCATTTAGTTCTTCAAGATGCAAAACTTCACATTTAAAATGTAAAATCACAGCCTTGCCTTTGTAGCAGTTGACAGAAAAGCATTCTCTGAATCTTAACCAAGCAGTTTCTGTTAACAGAGAAAGTAAACATGCCAGGGGGGATGCCAGAAAGCATCCATGAGCTACTGTCATATTCCAAGGTTTTCCACCAAAGTCTTCCTCATCCACTATTACTAGGTTTTATAGGGGCCCTTTTCATCCACATCCATCTTCAGACACCAACCTCCCCTCAAGTCTTTACCAGTTCTCCATAAAAAGCATATTGAAGAGGATTCCTGCAGCTGGCCTTCTTCTTCCCATGTCTCTCAGGAATGGCCACCCATATAATGAACAGAAGACTTACAGGACCTGGTAAACATGAAGGATGTATTACAAGTGACCCTTTTTAAACCCACTGGAAGTAGTCTTTAATAATATAAAAAATGCAATTTTCATTCATCATCTGACTGTAATGCTATAAAGAAACACAGGAGTCCACAGATAACGATCAAATTTGATTCTGCATGTTAATTAACAGTTAATTGCAGTGTCTGATGTTGATTACACAGGCTGGAAATGAAAAAACCCAAAGGATATAACTAGATTTCTGGGCATGTTCTGGATGTTGCTGCCTCTACCTCAGCACTATGGTATGACATTAGAGCATGCTCTATAATCACTCCTAAACAGGTGACTCTAAAACAGAAATAAACACATGCAAGGCATCCTCTTCAATCCAAATCATACAGAAATTCCATACATCACAAATCCTCCCAATGTAAGAAGACATACAGTTGCATTAAAGGTGACAGATAATGTCTGCTTAAGACGACTCCAAACACAGCTGGGTATGGAAAAACAATGGATTTTCCTTAAGAAGCACATAACCACATGAAGATGCCCCACCATACTCCTCAGATATTAAAATCATTATGCATGCCATTAATCATTATGCACACCAGCTCCAAAGCCAGAACAGTTAAACCAAGGAAGACGTACATTGGCAACAGAACAGCGCTACTGCATTGTTAACAGATTGTCTTTCACTTTTTGTTCTTGGTCACACGCTGCCTCTAGCACAGGCTTCCTTGGTACCTCTGGAGTATTATAGGCCAGCAGCACTTTATCATGGATGGACAGTTAAACATGCTGAAGATTGAGTCTGCAAATAAACGGAGACTGGAAGGAGCCCAGGTAAAGATATCCATTGTGCTCATGTGCCTCACTGACATAAGCTACCGTCATTCCCGTGGGATCATGGAAGCTTCTTCTGAAGGATCCTGTCTCACTAAGTTCAACAACAAGGCTATATTTGGGCACAAACTTTGTCACGGTTTCCTGACTCAGCAACTAAAAGAAAAGAAAAAAAGAAAATTAACACCAAAAGATTTTTTTTCTCCACAATTATTAGATCTCAGACACTTACACAGTCAAAGACCATTTCACTCTCCTTGGGAGAAGCAGCTAAGAACATAAAGAACATCTAAAAAGGCAGCTTAAGAAAAAACAAAAAGAAAAAAAAAAAGAGACCAGCAGAAGCATCCTGTACTCTAGCTCTAGGCTGAAAGGGCGTCCATGCAGGAGACATCAGCTTGTTCTGGTGCAGCTAATGCCAAGCAGCAGACATATGGTTCTGCTCCCCACAACATCAGTTTGTTAAGGCTCCTGTTCTGCAACAGGGCACAAACCAGGGCAAAACCAGAGACAACAGGTTTTACAGGGACAGCACAGTTTTTAGCTTAAATAACACTTTCATCCTAAACACTGCTCATTGATCTTTTTTTGAGAATGGAAGTATTTTCAAGTCTTTCTGTTGTTTAAAAAGCACCATACCTTTTCTTTAGCATCAGATGCCCTACAAAATACATTATTCTTACTCATCCTCATCCTAAAGGGGGGTGCAATGTAACAACATGCATATTGAGTCAGAACAAAGTGTCACCACCCAGCAGGATACATAATATACACACTGTTTCCTAAAATGCGGAGGGTAGTCATAAGAACAGGTCAGACTTCCCAAATGCCCTCCAAGCACCTGGCAATAAGTAGCTTAGGCACTTTGGGTACAAAGGTGAAGTCCTCACATATCCTAATGTAGATCTTGTGCTGCTGCATGGCTAGGGCAAAGATAGTCTTTCCTGAGATCAAGACAGAAGGCAACTTAAAGAGATGTGTGTACCTGCTACTCAGAGAAGCAAGTATTAGTTTTACTACCTACAAATATGTAGGGGACAACCACAACAGTTTTAACCACAGCACTAAGAAAGAAAATAATAAAAATTGAACTCTTCCTTTGAAGAGGAAGAAACAGGACAAATATTTATCACTTCCATTCCCATATTAAAAGTGATGGTTTTACTTGTTGGGGTTTTTTTTTACCTTAAATATCATCCTTTTAATCCATGGTTTTTCAGACAAAAAATCCAACAAAGAAAATCCAGGATTGGGCCGGACAGCTGCCGTAGCTACCCAATATCCTCCAGAGCTGCTTAACCTGATATTATCTGGAAGACCAGGCATATTCTCAACAAACATATCTGCTCCACCTTTCATGAGTCCAGACACATAATACCTGAAAGTTGTAGACAGCAGGATTAGGACATCTTAAGCAGTCTAAGTAATAAATAAAAGTCCCAAGAGGAATTAACTTTTAAAAATAAAAACAATTCTTTTTTTTTTCCTAGTTTGGTACATGGAATTACAGCAGAGGCACATTCCTCTCCCTAGAAAATGTCAAGTTACCTCCACTATGCTCAAGGAGACCATGATAAAAAGATGATGCAGTCCATATGCTTACAGTGAAAGTAACAAATTAAGCATTGAGGAAGGCCACCTTCTTTGCCATCAATAACAAGGCATGAATGGAGTGTTTGGTTTCTTTCGTCATTCAACTAATTTATTTAAACAATCTCTAAACAGAGACTAGTAATAATTTCAGCAACGTCATAATTACCTCCTGATTCTAGCCATGGTTGTCTCCGACACCAGGACAAAGTCTTCTGCAGGAGAGAGCTGCACACCATTAGGAAACCTCAGCCCCACCATCAAGACTTTCACTTCTTTTGTTACTGTGTCATATTCAAGCAAGCTAAAAAGAAAGCACATATAATGTTTTTTAGTGACGACAAGTATTTAATCATTTTGGTTTCATTCTCCAGGCATTCTGTCTTCTCTCACACGCACTTCACCTAAGTTAAAAAAACAGAATAACCAGGAAGCATTTATTGATGAACATCAGAGAAATACTAAACCATTTGATTTACGCTGAACATAATGCTAACACCTTCCCTTTTAAAACAAGTGCTCCACACCAGTACTCTTGAATAAAAAAGGGAAAATCTCCTTTATTTCACTGCAGGTCTCATTAACAACACCCACACATTCTCTCACCCTCTCCTGAGCAGCGTAATATTTGCACAGGTGGTTTACAAAGAGAAAAACACTTCAAGACCGAGGAAGTGGTGAAGTTCATTCCTTCCTACAGCTGAGCTAACAATAAGTTCAATGCCCTGGGGAAGAGATACTCGCCGCCCATCATCTGTGCCTTCCATAATTAAGAACAAGTAGTCCCGTCTTTGCCATTTGCTACTGGAGTCAGTGAAGTAGATTTTCCTCCCATCTTGGGTCACTGTAAGATCATTGACGAATGACAATCGCTGACCTTCAATTAGTGTTTTGGTTGACACAAGCATTTTCGTTTCACCTGGTTACAGAAAGAAGAAAGAATAATTAAAAAAAAAGACACATAAGAGAAGCCTTCGTATGTCCTGCCTTGGAAACAAGCAAAATACTAATAAGAAATTAGCAGGCATTTTGCATTGATTCCATTCGCGCCTCTGTTAAGTAACACAGGTTTGGGTTGTAACAGAACAACTCAACACCAAATGTGAACAACCAGGAGAAACCCTCTTCTGAAAAATTGAAACAGGAAATTATATTCCCTATTGGTAAGTGCCAGACTTTATATATTTCTGAAGAACATTTGAAATCAAGTACAAATTGAGGTTCGAACTTTGTAGAAAGATGCACACAAGCCAATCCCTACTCCTTCTTACTCCATAAAGCTGTAAGAACAAAGCAGAGTAATGTTTAACCTTCAAGACATCAGCAGGTTCACTAAACTGCTCTGCCACATATTACCAGGCAAATTATTAAGGTCTAGTCACTAAAAATTGACCACAATCTACTGAAATAATCTTCAGGCATGGGTTTTGGGTTTGTTTGTTTGCTTCTTTTTTTGTCATGACTGTGCTAATATGGCAGCTGTCTGCCATCAAAGAGGAGACCTTGATCACACCTTCCCAGAGGCACACTTTGGTTACATCTCACCTACAGAGAAGTCAATTTAGTAATGCAAACAGCCAGAAAACCAACTCAACACAAAAGCAACTATTGCTTTCTGACAGACAGAACAGCTCCTAAAACTGAAATTTGGCTCAGGGACATGTAACAAAGGGCATGATACAACAGTGCCTCTCTCAACAGGAACAAGCCACTTGATCTTCAGATGCACCAAAATACAACTTTCATCACTTTCTATATATTGGGTTTAAATGGAGGTTAAGAACTCTACCACACAGCAAGATCAAGGCAGAAAAAAAAAGTACAGCACACATGACAAAAAGTTCATGTAATAACTTTTTTTTTTCCCCCTCTCCATGAAAACTGAAACAGCTGCACAGAGCTTTATTCATGGATCCTGATGTACTAATTTTGACAAGCAAAAGCTTTTGTCACCAGAAGATAAGACACTGGTAACTCTGATCCAGCCAGAGAGGAAGTGATTGCTACAATAAAGTAAACACCAAGTTCCTGCACTTCATCCAGACAGCTCCAAACCACTCCAAAAAGAAGGCAGGCATTGTTTTGCTTGCAGTGTCTGGCACAACTGCAAATGAAGCCCAGATTACCAGTGGAAGAGAACTTCTAGGTAGAAAGTCATACCTGTACCAGGATTAACTTCATAGAGTCCATAATACGCATCTGCCACAAATAGGGTGTTATTTGGCCCCACTCTGATGCCAAGTGGTCTCCCACATGTTGGCTCATCTTCTGGGGTTCCTTAGGAAACAATTTTAAAATAATAAACACAAGGCATTCAGGCTACCCACACAGGCCAAATTGTTGTTTAATATAACTCTATGACCAGCATCACACATTCATTAAAGAAATTATGTACTTTCCTACATGTGACTGAAACAGATAAACCCATGTTTTCACCAGTCTAGACATAATAAAATATTTTTCCAGGCTGGTAGCTAGATAGCAGCTGCCCCAAGTAGGGCTGAATGTCAGAAAATTTGATTTAACTGACTGCTTCTTCTCAGAAAGCAACAGTTTGACTTCACTTGCCTCCCCACCTCACGTGGGGCAAGAGGGAACTCTAGGCTCCCCACTACTTCTTTGGCCCCAAAGCAACAGGGCAGCATAATCTTCCCACCACTTCCAAGCTGAACAAGCGCAGTGGAAATGAGAAGTGGAAAGGTGATTCTTCACATCTATCCCAACCCACATTTGTGCCTAAGCAGCAGCTGGAAGTCCAGCTTTCTATCAGCTGGCAGCAGACCTTGTTGGCTGTCAGTGCTGAGGCTGTCCTACCTGATAGGCAGCCAAGAGCATGCTTCCAAATCAGTGCAGAGCTTAGTCATGTGAAGTCCATGGAAAATTGCATAACTTATACAACAAATGTGTCAATTCAAGATACAAAAAGCAGCAACAGTTCCTGCCCATAATTTCTAACTGGCAACCAGCACTGGACTGCAGAACCTCATGTAAGCTTTTACATCATATTGCAAACAAAACCACCCACAGTCCCAACAAACACCAGCCAGGCTTCTCAGACAGCCCAGGCAGTACTGAGATGGCCAACATTAAGCTTCTCCAAATAAATGATTCTGTTAATAAACAAGTCATTACCAGTTTTTCCTCCCTCAGTTCCAGAAATCTCATTAAATGAAGCCAAGAAGTGGCTCAGAAAGAGGTGTAGAATTCAACGAGAAATAACTGCAATTTAATTTTGACAAAGCAGAAATATCCTGACCACTGGAAGACCCACCAATGGCGGCTACAGCAGATGCAGCCACC